GGAGAAACTGGCGCAACTGTGCCTTGCACGCACGCACGTCACATACGAAACAAAACGCTGTTCCATCTGGGGCGCCTCATGTTTCATGCCGGTCGCCCACACCCAACCTCCGAAATGTGTACACAGATGTGCACACAAGATTTTGAAGGCTCGCGACGGTTCGCCCGAAATCTTGGCCCACGCATCGACCATGGGGAGTGAGGGGTCCAAGGGAGCTCGGGAGCAGGAAAGGTCGGAGGGGCTCGGCGCGCAACGTGACGGGGATGTAGACGAGAGAACGGACCCATGTCACAACATTTGGCCGTTTTGACGCCGTTTGGGCCGCCGTGCTACCCCTTCATGAGGCCGTTTTGAAAGAATGGGCGGGAACCGCCGCTGCGAGACAGAATCCGTACCAAGAACGGCTTCCCGTACATCGGCCAACAACCACTTTGAACCCGTATGACGAGACGGACAAGGAAGGGTGGCGGGGGAACAAGGATGGGGACGAAGGCTTCTCCTCCTCCTCCTCCTCCTCCTCCTCCTCCTCCTCCTCCTCCCAATGTTCCTTTTCCTCCTCCTCCTCTTCCTCCTCCTCCGTAGCCGTTTTGGCTCAAGTCCGCAGCGGGAGGCTCAGTGACTTGGGTGTGACAAGGGGGAGGTGCGCCCCCAGCTGCGATCCCTGGACCAACGTCTAGTTGTGTGCACACGCGGTCGGGCCACTCCGAGACTGTAACCGTCGCCTGTTGGCTGGCACGTCTTCTCCTTCTGTGAGCTCCTGGCGGAGCCCATGGGCAAGGATGCAGCCAAAGGCTACCTCTCGTGCTCGAGCTGCCGCTATCGCTGGAACTGGAAGGCGCGCAAGCAGCGTCTCTCGTGCGGGAATGCGGCGGTGCCGTCGCCGCGGGCGCCGCCATGGCAGCAGGCCACAGGGGGAGTGGGGCGTCTGGCACGGGCTCGGGCGGAGGTCGGCAGGCCCCGGCCCCACCGCCAGGTGCCTGGGCGCCCAGCCGCATGGAGGTGCCCAGGGCGCCGATGCCCCCGCAGCGCGGCGCAGCCAAGCAGTCGGTCGCGGAGCTCCTCGCCCGGCTCCAGCAGCACGTCGGCCAGGCCGCGGGCGCGCAGGAGCTGCAAGCCTCGGTGCAGGCGGTGGTGCCGTCCGAGCCTGAGCAGCCTGCGCGGGCGCCGCTGCTGGAGGAGACCATCGGTGCGAGAGGAGCTGCCCGCAGGCGGGCTGAGAGGGCCTTGGAGCAGGCTGTCGCGAGGGAGGGCGGAGCGAAGCGCTGGCTGGCGGAGCGCAGTCAGGAGACGAGAGAGGCGGCGGTCCTGGCGGTGCAGACCAAGTCCGAGCGGCAGGCGGGGCTCAAGGCGGAGTTGCGGCAGAGCCGTGGATCGTCGCCCGGCGCGCCGTCGCCGACGTCGGCCTCGTACATCCCGACAGGGTCTCAGATCAATTTGTCGCAGCTGCTGGGTGATGGGAGCGGCTTCGAAGCGGTGGAGATCGTGGACGGCGACCTGCTGGACCTCAGTGACCTTGAGCTGGG